TTTCCACTGCATTTCAGCCCTGCCACAAAAGGACCAGCTGCCATCATGTCAGTGATTATCTCGTTAACACAGGTGAGAGTGTTGATGAGGACAAGGCTGGAGATCACTCTGTCATGCTGATTGAGTTATAATAACAGACTTGAAGCTTTAAAAGGAGGGTGGTGGTTGAAATAATTGTTCTTCCTCTGTTAACCATGGTTACCTGCAAGGAAACACGTGCCGTCATCATTGCTTTGCACAAAAAGGGCTTCACAGGCAAGGATATTGCTGCTAGTAAGATTGCACCTAAATCAACCATTTATCGGATCATCAAGAACTTCAAGGAGAGAGGTTCAATTGTTGTGAAGAAGGGCGCCCAAGAAAGTCCAGCAAGCGCCAGGACCGTCTCCTAAAGTTGATTCAGCTGCGGGATCGGGTCACCACCAGTGCAGAGCTTGCTCAGGAATGGCAGCAGGCAAGTGCGAGTGCATCTGCACGCACAGTGAGGCGAAGACTTTTGGAGGATGGTCTGGTGTCAAGAAGGGAAGCAAAGAAGCCACTTCTCTCCAGGAAAAACATCAGGGACAGAATGATATTCTGCAAAAGGTACAGGGATTGGACTGCTGAGGACTGGGGTAAAGTCATTTTCTCAGATGAATCCCCTTTCCGATTGTTTGGGGCATCCGGAAAACACCTTGTCCGGAGAAGACAAGGTGAGCGCTACCATCAGTCCTGTGTCATGCCAACAGTAAAGCATCCTGAGACCATTCATGTGTGGGGTTGCTTCTCAGCCAAGGGAGTGGGCTCACTCACAATTTTGCCTAAGAACACAGCCATGAATAAAGAATGGTACCAACACATCCTCTGAGAGCAACTTCTCCCAACCATCCATGAACAGTTTGGTGACGAACAATGCCTTTTCCAGGATGATGGAGCACCTTGCCATAAGGCAAAAGTGATAACTAAGTGGCTCGGGGAACAAAACATCGACATTTTGGGTCCACGGCCAGGAAACTCCCCAGACCTTAATCCCATTGACAACTTGTGGTCGATCCTCAAGAGGCGGGTGGACAAAGAAAACCCCACAAATTCTGACAAACTCCAAGCATTGATTATGCAAGAATGGGCTGCCATCAGTCAGGATGTGGCCCAGAAGTTAATTGACAGCTTGCCAGGGCGGATTGCAGAGGTCTTGGAAAAAGAAGGGTCAACACTGCAAATATTGACTCTTTGCATAAACTTAATGTAATTGTCAAAAGCCTTTAACACTTATGGAATGCTTGTAATTATACTTCAGTATACCATAGTAACATCTGACAATATCTCATAACACTGAAGCAGCGAACTTTGTGAAGACCAATACTTGTGTCATTCTCAACTTTTAACCACGACTGTATATCCACAGTAAAACAAGTCCTATATTGACATAACCTGAAAGGCCGCTCAGCAAGGAAGAAGCCACTGCTCCAAAACCGCCATAAAAAAGCCAGACTACGGTTTACAACTGCACATGGGGACAAAGATCGTACTTTTTGGAGAAATGTCCTCTGGTCTGATGAAACAAAAATAGAACTGTTTGGCCATAATGACCATTGTTATGTTTGGAGGAAAAAGGGGAAGGCTTGCAAGCCGAAGAACACCATCCCAACCGTGAAGCACGGGGGTGGCTGCATCATGTTGTGGGGGTGCTTTGCTGCAGGAGGGACTGGTGCACTTCACAAAATAGATGGCATCATGAGGAAGGAAAATGATGTGGATATATTGAAGCAACATCTCAAGACATCAGTCAGGAAGTTAAAGGTGGTCGCAAATGGGTCTTCCAAATGGACAATGACCCCAAGCATAATTCCAAAGTTGTGGCAAAATGGCTGAAGGACAACAAAGTCAAGGTATTGGAGTGGCCATCACAAAGCCCTGACCTCAATCCTATATAACATTTGTGGGCAGAACTGAAAAAGCATGTGTGAGCAAGGAGGCCTACAAACCTGACTCAGTTACACCAGCTCTGTCAGGAGGAATGGGCCAAAATTCACCCAACTTATTGTGGGAAGCTTGTGGAAGGCTACTCGAAACGTTTGACCCAAGTTAAACAATTTAAAAGCAATGCTACCAAATACTAATTGAGTGTATGTACATTTCTGACCCACTGGGAATGTGATGAAAGAAATAAAAGCTGAAAGTCACTCTACTATTATTCTGACATTTCATTCTTAAAATAAAGTGGTGATCCTAACTGACCTAAGACAGGGAACGTTTACTAGGATTAAATGTCAGGAATTGTGAAAAACTGAGTTTAAATGTATTTGGCTAAGGTGTATGTAAACTTCCGACTTCAACTGTAAATCTGTGGTAACACATTTTTCCCGTCTCATAGCATCCACCATGCAAGTTGTTATTTTATTTAAGTTGTCTTCATTCAAAACATTAATTCATTGGCTGTCCACTAGTGGCAATAGTGGGTCAATAGAAGATGCTACAATTGTGATTCTGCATCAACATTTTGCTGCCATGTTGCTGCTGAATGACAGATACGGTATAATCTGGTTGAGAAGAGATGAGAGCGGTGTTAAAGCAACGAATTAGGACATAAGTCATTTTCTTTCCATATTGTTTTATTTCATCAATGTCTTGAAGAGTGTTCATGTTAGCATGTCTGTCATATCACCACATACAACGTAACCGGTTGGTTTGTTATGAAATGTGTGTTGTATAGTCAGGGTTAACATGAATTGCACATATTTTTCCTCATTCAAATACACTTGGCAACAGTTCATTATCTACAATCAATTCAGTTTCATATAAAAAGAAACAAAAATAACAATTTACATCAAAACCCCAACATCCATTCAGAAAACACTCCATCTCTCTCTCTCACACACACACACACACACACAGAGGGAACGTAAAACAAATAGAAAAATAACTTAATTTCTCCCCCTACCCTAAGATTACCTGGCTTTGCTACAATATTGATTATGTGCAACTGAGATGATAGTTAGGAGTCAGACACCCCTGTAGACTAGTGATCCTCCACCCTGGTCCTGGAGAACTACATGGTGTACAGGGTTTTGTTCCAGCCCAGCACTAACACACCTGATTCAACTAACCAGCTACTCAATAAGATCTTTATGAAAGTAGAATTGGGAGTGTTGGGCTGGAACAAAAGTCTGCACACCTTTATACTCCTCATGACCAGGGTTGGTGACCACTGTTGTAGAGGAAGATGCCCTCCTCTAAACACTCTCCCGCCACTGTTGGATGGTTCTAGAGCAGACATTCTGCACCTTTTCAGTAATGTAGGGTTGACATCTAGCATAAGGATTTGATAGAATTATGACATATCAGATGTACAAATAAATCATGAATGTATGAAGAAAAAATATGAAAAAAATGATAAAAGTACATTACAACAAAATATACATCTATATGTTGCAGCTGATTATTAAAGCATGGGTAAGTAAATTAATCATCTTAAAGGTCATTTTGAGATATGAAACATTTTAAACAAGCTGGTCTGTGTGTAGAAAGAAAAAAGCATACAGATTCTCTTTCAAATCGAAAAAACATTTTAAGAAAACCATCCATTTGTAATTTATAGTATTTGCATTTATTTCAAAGTGCTTTCCCTGAACAATTAAATGGGCAATCATGTATTTGTATTTAACATAGTGCTTGTAGTACAATGCATAGAGGGCCTTGTGCTATGTCCAAAAGGGCACATTCATTATCAGAGGGCAATAGAAGTGAAAAAACATGCAGCCTGTGAACCATTAAGTCTTCTGCTCTGAAAGAGTGCATCACTTAAAATACTCAAGACCCTTGGATGAATCCTGGATAACTAATATTTATTCCATGTCACCTGAGTATCTGATGGATCACAGATTATAATCTGTACTAGACCATAATCTGGACGAGACTCTAGTATATCTAGTACCCACACCACCACGCTTCTGTACTGTATCCCTAAAAGGGAGTGGCCTGTCTAACTCTACATCAGCCAAGGCACTGTGTTTGATGCTCCCTCTGAAAGATTGTCTCAGTCCAGTTAGCCAACACTGACAAAAACCTTGAGAAACTGACATTTCTTTAATAATTTCAAATTACTGTAGTTGGTATATTCATTGGTACTAGTTCCAAGTATAAGTATCAAATAAATATATGGACAGGTTGATGATTGGTTAACGGCAAAAGTGTGCATGTGTGTGTTGCGTGCATGAAAGAAAAAAAGGTTGCCCAGCTCCACTAGGCCTTTAGTGTGCATCTGTGAACAGAGCTAAGCAGGTGTTTATTTGGACGAGTCGGCTTGGACACCAGCCATAGAGGACAGAAGTAGTCTCTGAAACAACTCTCTCTGGTGGGCGGGACGAGGACAGGCAAATAGGACCTGGGGAATCTTATAGGGACGGACAAGAACAAGCCCTCCCTGCTCCGTCTCCCCCTCTCCAGTGGGGCAGAGCCACAGAGCACAATACCGGCCAACTCAACAGTCACAGGGAGGGGCAGTAGTAGTAGAGCAATTCCACAGTAACAGAGTGATGCTGAGACTCAGATGTTTCACTTTTAAATGTATGTCAAACAAAACCTATACAGCTCTATGCACTCTAACTCTATTACAGTTTCCACTGAACATTAAAAAAAATACATTTACTTGAAGAACAGTGTAGATGCACATTTTGGTAACAGAATGACGGCACCAACAGCACAAACGGTCATTTATGTTACTAAACTTTGCATCTGCACTGTTCTTAAGTAAATGTGTTTTTGTAAAATGTTCTATGGAAATGGTTAAAAGTAGTCCTTTTGCCTAGAATTTTATGGTGTGTTCAACTTTGCAATCATTGGTTTTTGTTTTAAAGGGAAGTAAGTCTCAGCATCACTCTGTTAATGTGGAATTGCCCAGTACTAACAACAGGGTTGTATTCCTTAGGGCACACCGTAGCAAAACGTTTTCGAACAACAGAAAGCAAAAACAAGCGTTTCATATGGTCCCTTCCCTGTTTCTGTCCGTTTTCACCCGTTTGGTGCCTAATGAATACGACCCAGGTTGGCCGTGTATGTATGTCTATAGTTTATATGTATGCGGGTTCTCAGAGTTTGTCGGCGTTGGCGTAGAGTGTGTCCTCATCGCTCTCGCTCTCATCCTGGAACTCGTTGGAGAGCAGGGACTTCTTGGAGCCCATGGAGGTGAGGCGAATCTCGTCCTCGTAATCGTCACGGTGCTGCCGCAGCCGGTGGAAACCATCCTTCTGCTGGTTGGACTTAGCAGAGCACACACACCAGATGATGCAGGCTGTCACCACCAGGGCCGTCATGGAGGCCGCTGCAGGGAAGGAGAGAGGAGAGACAAGTATATATACACATGAGGCATTAGGCAGAGGCACAAAACAAACATATGTCCTAAAAACCTACAGAATTTTACTTATTCACCTTGTCTGTCGATGTGCCCTTGAGCAAGACACTTAACCCTAATTGCTATGGATAAGAGCGTCTGCTAAATGACTTAATTTATTTTTATTTTTATGTAATTCTCTGCAATCATCTGGCAACATTACACAAAAGGTAACATCTCCACAAAACCCAGTTCTCCTCATGCTTACCTGCAGTAGCCACAACAAACTCCCGGGGCAGACCAAAAATGCGATTGTCCATGTCAAACTCAATGATGATGGAGCTGGCGGCTTCATACGATGACACAACCACCTCCTGCCGTTGTTGCTGGTAGCCATCAGCTACAGCCTCTATGTTGTGGTTTCCTGGTGCCAGCAGAGCATGGAAGTAGCCTCCCTCTGCAGTGAACACCCTCACACCCCCGTTCAACACTATCATGGCCCCCACGATGGGCTTCCCACTCTTATCCTTCACCACGCCACGCACACCTTTATGGACCTGAGAGAGAGACAGAAACACAGATTGAATGTAAAGTACACAGAACAAAAAGTAAGTAGCCTTGTCTGAGCCAGAACGGCCGATAGGGCAGGAGCCTATATCCTGTTACTGTAGGGTAAGGCAGCTTGATGTACAGAACAAGTACACCCCCTGAACAGGACGCTAGTCTATCGCAGGAAGATAGACTATCGCTAGTCTATAACATTAAGTAATATTATCTTAACTTAATCTGCTGTGGCAATATTTACACATGTATGCCATGTATGCATTCAATAACGTATCAAACAAATGTGTTTGATAGGTAACCAATCGGAGCCCCGAAATGCATTAATTAATTACTATCAAACACACTCAAAAACTCTTATCAACGCGTTTGTAAATTTATTGAACACAGAGGTCAAAAGGTATTACTGACCTCCACCAGCATGCTGAGCAGTGCCTTCCTGTTCTCAGCCCACAGCGTGGCCAGCTGCTCGGCCGGGGGGAACAGACAGCAGCCTGTATACACCGTGATCTCTGGACAGTGGCCAAAGTCCACACTGAAGTCCTGGAACACACAGACAGGCAGGCAGACAGACAGATCAGAATAGGCATATTGATGACCAGTAAAGCTTAGTACAGAATGGCCACTGTTCTTTAAATCAGACACAATTGATCAGGCTCTTACACAGAAAGTTGAAGTTAAATACAGACTTAGTAGTGGAAGTCCTGTCGTTCCGGGACTCAACCAGCAGATGCCTCTTTGGGCCCGGGGTGACAGAACAACCCTTCTCCTGTGAGAGATGTAGCATTAGATAGCATTAGGAAGCAGCGGTTGATGAAACATACCTTCATACTGCCCATGTGACTTTGTCTCTCTGCTGCCCTGAGTACTCCATCTGGGATGTTACCCCCTTGGGAGAGAGGAGGAGAATAGGAGGATGAAACAGAGGAGTCAATTGATGTATAGAAGCCATCTTCTTTTCCAATTCACCACTTCATTTTAATTCAGAATACAGTCTATTGGTCAAAGTGGTCTATTTGTGGTGTTGTTGGTACATACTCTGGCCATTGCTTGGACATCCCGTATCCCCCAGGTGCATTTTAGGATGGTTGCTGGCGTACATATTGGCCAAGTACTTCAGAGTTTCCTCATTTCCAACTGAAAAAAAGTACACTATTAGTTAACTATTTATTTGATTGTTTTCTAGTATTCTATTTGGAGCCCCATGTTCCTACCTGGCTGTACAGGCTTGTCGTAGGGGTAAGTAGCCAACAGGGAGCCTCCATCCAGGGCTACAGAGAGTGTGAAGCCCCTCTCTAAGATCAGGTCCATCACTGCCCTGGTCTCTGGCTGAGCCTCCACCGCACGCTGGGAGGCATTACCTACAGCAGCAGCACACACAGACACGATACCATCAGACATGTAAGGGCATGCAAGTACACACACACAAAACACAAACATCTCCATCTATACACCAACCACAGCAGGTACTGACCGAAGAAGTCAGTGTCCAGATCTTTCCCGTGTGCGTTGGTCATGCCCACAGTAGAGGTGCACTGTTTCTCTCTGGCCAGCTCTCGTCCATCTGGGTTGATGGAGGGAAGGATGACGATCCGCGTCTCGTTTATCAACTGTGGAGAGGAGAAGGGGAAGAAGGACCAAGAGGAATGAGGGGTAGAACAACAGGTCATCAGTGATATTTAAAGGGAGATTTTTTATTTTAGAATATCTCTAAACTTATTAGAAAGTTTTCTTTCCCTTTTAAAGTGTGGTAGATAAAAAAACAACTTTATGAATATTTAGTAATTTCAAGGCAACACAACTGTGCAAGGGTGTGAATAATTTCACTAGGCATTGTAGTTATGATTGGTGTAGTAAAAACATGTCCGTTAAAACATCTCACCCTGGTAATGGTGGGGTTCTTGTCGTAGTTGATGCAGAGAAAGGCAGCGAACTCCAGCAGGAGCTCTGTGCCCACGGGGGCGTTGCCATGGATGCCTCCCACCAAGCGGATCTTGGGCTTGGCCGTTTCAGGCTCGTCTGGTTTGTTGGAGATCTCCAAGGCCCAGATGGTCCTGTACTCCACACTCTGGCCCAAACTAGATAGGAGAATGCATGTTATTATCAATTCCACTGTAGATAATATGGAATATGGTTACCTAGCAGACTCTTCTGCAAAGAGATGTAGACCGTAATTCTAAACATTTGGAGGAGAGGTTTTGAGGTTAGCCATTAGGGGTACAGGAGGGCAGGTAGCCTAGCGGTTAGAGCGTTGGGCCAGTAACCGAAGGGTCGCTGATTCGAATACCCGAGTCGACAAGGTGAAAAATCAGTCGATGTGCCCTTGAGCAAGGCACTTAACCCTAATTTGCTCCATGGGCACTGTACTACTATGGCAGACCCTGTAAAACAACACATTTCACTGCACCCATCTGGTGTATGTGATCATACATATACATTATTTTTTTTACATGACAAGGGCAGTTACACTATGGGTTAGAGGTCAGGGAGGTGACATTTGATGAGTTTAGCTAGGAGGTCAGAGGTCATAACTCGGGCCTACCTGTGCAGGGAGGTCCTCTTGGGGAAGTTGAGGTTTAGAGGTTAGATGTCAGGTTAGGGTTTAGAGGTCAAGGGTCATAACTCAGGCCTACCTATGCAGGGAGGTGATCTTGGGGAAGTTGAGCGTCAAACCTCTCAGGAACTCTGACAGCTCCTTGTAGCGTCTGTATCTGAAGCTGCTCTCTGTGGCGGTACTCTGAACAAGCTGCTCCAGCCCCTGGCCCAGAGACAGGTTCTTAATGACGCTCTGGAACGCCTCCTCTGCAGGGTCCTGTGTGGCCCCGGGGTCCTTGGGGGCCTGGCCGTTGGGCTCCGAACGAACCCGCGTCAGCCGGAAGTCTACCAGCTCCACCCCCTCCTCTGGCACTGTGGCGTAGATCTTTACTGAGTTGTACCTGAGAAGACGGGGAGGGAGGGTTAGGGCAAAGAAGGTTGTTAATTCTAGCTCTGTTTCTATGGGTTAGGGTGGGGATACCCTGCAAATGTAGACCCGGTATTGGGTCTACATTTTAAACAAACCCTCTAATTTATCTCAGTTACTTCTACGGTCCTGTCTCTCACCCCCGTGCGGAGGCGATGAGGTGGTACGTCCCAGGGACCAGAAGTCTCCAGTAGTCTCCAGCTAGGCTGGTTGTGATTGGATGATTGATCTCCTCCACCATGATGGTGGCATTAGGGATGCCTGTACCATCTTTAATGTCTATCACCATGCCCTTCACTCCTCTGTGGACCTGCAGAGGCACGCACACATACACACAAATTCAAGTTGGTGCATTTGAAACAAAGTAAGTAGGTAAGACATATATAAAGGGAAAGAGAGAAATTATAGGTTTTTAAAAATTTAGTTTGTTGAGTAAGTGAGAAAGAGAGAGTGATGAATAAATGAGCAAATGACAGCGTAGTGAAGGACAGCATGTAAGTATGCTGACCTGGTGGATGTACTGTAGTAAGGCTCTGCGGTTCTGGTCCCAGTACAAAGGCAGGTGCTGGGCTTTAGGGTACTTCACACAGCCCAACTCTATGGTCACCTCAAAACAGTTAGTGTTCAGGTAGTTCCAGTCCTGCATCCCACCTGGCGAGAGAACACAAAGAGAAGTCAGATACACACACACACACACAAATTGTTCCTCTCAGTGTGTGTATTGGCATGGGAGGGCACGTACCGGGAACATTGTACCAGTTGGCGCCGTTGGTGATGCCGTCCTCAAAGAACTCCGATGGATAAAGGTCCTCACAAGGGTGCCCTTTGTGCATCAGAGCATTTTCCTGCGCACACACACACACACACACAAAAGGGCAAAGGCGACAATGCAATACAGACAGCAGAATTAAAACAGTAAACTTATCAACTTATCTTCAACTATCCACTGGTTTTATTATCATAATTAAAATTATCTTCACAACTGCATTAATATATTCATTAAAAAGTGACATTAATAGATTGATATAAGGACCCAAATTGTGTGTCCACTGACCTGAGAGTAGGCTCTGGCCACCTGTTTAAAGACCTTGTCATCAGGACACTTGCTGTACTCCGTACGTCCCTGCTTGTCATCATCATATGGGTAGTTGACCACCAATGACCCTATAGTGGGCAGAGAGGAAATACGCAATGAGAATGCAGTATATTACTGTAATATTAAGGTTGTCATCCAAAGTGGCGTTGGTGGCGGGCAAATATAATTTTTTGATGAACATTGAAAAATGGTAGAGCTTAGGGCTTACCTCCATGTAGGTTGGCTGAGAGCACGAAGGGATACCTCTTGAGCCAGCTCATCACAGCGATGGTCTCTGGCTGCCTGGGTTCAGTGATGGTAGTAAACTGGTCAGGGAAGTTACGGTTCAGGTCAAAGTTGTTACTGTTGTTGCGTCCCGTGTACCCTCTGGCATCACCTGCGAGAGAAAATGAACAGAAAACAATACAAATACATTATACCCTAAATACATTATTTCTATATCTCAATCCATTATACAGAGATGACTGAAACGGATCATTCTGCTGTCAAAGTACCCAGGTACCAAAACACATATTTCCAGGGCTTCTTTTAATACTAGGGTAGTTCCACCTTAAAAATTTCCCTGGTGATCAACTTCCTGTTTATAAAATTGCTGGGCAAAACAGCAGCACAACTGGCGGAGTTAAAAATAGACCTACGTACAGTGGCAACCCGTCATTGGTGTTGCCTGTTTTGCATGTTATTTTGGCATTAATACATGTCACATATCAGTTTGCAAACAATGTAAAAAATAAAATAATTGAGCCGCATACAAACATGGTCTCTTTCTTTCTGTCTTGCTTTCTTGAGTAAGGCAGCTCCAAAATGCAGGTGTTTCAGCCTAGCTCAGTGCTTTCTGTGGTGGTGGGGCAGCCAATATAAAATACGGAGCGTAGGGGTTGGTAATGTTCTCTAGTTGCGCCGTGATTGGCTCAGTGTTCTGTCACTCATGGGGACACTACGTCCCCGCAAAATCTACAGGGAGAGCTCGGAAATTCAAGCCCTTTGGGTGCTGCCATTGAGTTACATTAGAAGTGCCCATCCAAGAAGGCTCAAGGTCATTGGCCACAGATAAAATGACGTCAAATCACGTTATATCTACCGTAGCTTTGATTGGACTGATCATGTCAACATCATACTTTCAAAATCTTAGCTAGCAAGCAGTGATCATCATGAATCAAGTTGACAATCTACTGGCAAATAGTTTTCAATCCTTGTCATATGAAGAGAAATTATAGCTAAAACGTATCGGTGCTCATTGGTCATAAATATTACACAACAAGTTGGAAATCACAAATTCAACAATGCCTGGTTTGGAAGGAAACAGTGGCTAACTGCAAGCGTTGCAAAGCAATCAGTAGCCTGCTACTCAGTGGAGAGGGTGTATGGTCCAAGTCGGGATTTAAGGGCATTTTTCCAAGCTTAAAAGGATAAACATTCACATGCAACACCATGGGCCAGAAAAGGTTGAATACATTGGCCATGCTGTCAATCCAGCATGACTTCTGCTGCGTTCAAAACTGGAAACTCGGAAATCTCAGACTTCAGTGAGTTCAAGACAACTGGGAATCCTGGAAAAAAACAAGCTCTGACTGGGAAGATTTGTTTTGAATGGTCATCCAACTCGGAATTCCAAGTCGGGAACTCTGGCCTCTTTCTAGAGCTCTGACCTGAAGATCATTGACGTCATGATTCGATCTTGTTTTTTCCCCCCCGAGTTCCCAGTTGTCTTGAAAGCACCATAAATCCAGAGCATGCCAGACTTTGATGACAAAATATGCCCCCAAGAAGGACCGCCGCGCCACCTTCCTGTTCAAGTGAGCACAGCACAACAAGGTGAGTCCAAAAATGTATTGTATGCTGCTGCATAAATGATGTAATATGCCAGGGTTTTCAGACCCCTTGACTTTTTCCACATTTAGTTACGTTAAAGCCTTATTCTAAAATGGATTAAATAAAACAATGTCCTTAGCAATCTACACACAATACCCCTTAATGACAAAGCGAAAACAGCAATACCTTATTTACATAAGTATTCAGCCCCTTTGCTATGAGACTCGAAATTGAGCTCAGATGCATCCTGTTTCCATTGATCATCCTTGAGATGTTTCTACAACTTGATTGGAGTCCCGCTGTGGTAAATCCAATTGATTGGACATGATTTGGAAAGGCACACACCTGTCTATATAAGGTCCCACAGTTGACAGTGCATGTCAGAGCAAAAACCAAACCATGCTGTAATCGCTGCCAAACAACAAAGTACTGAGTAAAGGGTCTGAATACTTATGTAAAATGTGATATTTCAGTTCTTTTAGTTGTTATAAATTAGCACAAATTTCTAAAAACCTGTTTTTGCTTTGCCATTATGTGGTATTGTGTGTAGATTGATGAGGGGGAAAAAACAATTCAATCAATTTTAGAATAAGGCTGTAACGTAACAAAAGGCACAGTACGTATTCCTGAAGGCACTGTATGTATACTGTAGTTAAGAATGTTATACTAAGTGTATGTTGTGTAGTAAGCTGTTAGTAGCCCATGTGCCTTGGTCCCTTTCCCCCTCATAACTTAGCCTACTGTTCTGACTTGGTGGTGCACATGTAGCCAATAGCCTGTTTTAGAGAAATGTAATCATCGAATATTGTAAAAGCTTTCATTGTCTGCTTATATGCCCCCTTTATTTATCCTTCGGTTCTGACTTGGTGTACAGGGAGAATACTGTAAGAACGGCCCATGTTCTGAATTCTGTCACTGTATATTTCAAAAGTGCTGAACAAATAGTTATATTGACTACGTCCGTCCTAGCTCGCTCATTAATGTCTTAATGTCTTAATGTCTTTCAGATTGCCTCTTATCTGCTCGTCGTCCCCTTATGCCATAGTTTGCACATCTCAATTGTCAGTAGAAACCACATTTGTTTAAGCAAGTCAGCCATATCAGCTACACTACCGTTCAAAAGTTTGGGGTCACTTAGAAATGTCCTTGTTTTCGAAAGGAAAGCAATTTTTTTGTCCATTAAAATAACATCAAATTGATCAGAAATACAGTGTCGACATTGTTAATGTTGTAAATGGCTATTGTAGCTGGAAACGATTTTTAATGGAGTATCTACATAGGCGTACAGAGGCCCATTATCAGCAACCATCAGTCCTGTGTTCCAATGGCACGTTGTGTTTGCTACTCCACGTTTATCATTTTAAAAGGCTAATTGATCATTAGAAAACCCTTTTGCAATTATGTTAGCACAGCTGAAAACTGTTCTGCTGATTAAAGAAGCAATAAAACTGGCATTCTTGAGACTAGTTGAGTATCTGGAGCAATTGTGGGTTCGATTACAGGATCAAAATGGCCAGAAACAAAGAACTTTCTTCTGAAACTCGTCAGTCTATTCTTGTTCTGAGAAATGAAGGCTATTCCATGCGAGAAATTGCCAAGAAACTGAAGATCTCGTACAACGCTGTGTACTACTCCCTTCACAGAACAGCGCAAACTGGCTCTAACCAGAATAGAAAGAGGAGTGGGAGGCCCTGGTGCACAACTGAGCAAGAGGACAAATACATTAGTGTCTAGTTTGAGAAACAGACGCCTCACAGGTCCTCAACTGGCAGCTTCATTAAATAGCTCTCTAATGTATGCAATGACTGACATAACAAGAGACAAACTGATGATGCACTACCCAATTTCGAAATTACACCTTGTGCTTCTACTATTACAACTTTCAAGAGTAAGTTGAAAGCCGGACTGAGTTCCTTAAAAATTTAATAAAAATGTTGGGAACCACTGACTTTATGCTACATGTTAAAAGCCTTCTTTTAGGGCTACAATGCATTTTTCTTGTAGACAGGCAACATTTTTCACAAATAGACCCCACACACACACACGTTCCTCTCTTACCCTCCCTGGCGATCTCATAACCATCTGGGTTCATGGAAGGCATGATGTGTATCCGGGTCGTGTTGACTAGCTGGGTGACCTCAGGGTCACTGCCATAGTTACGGCACAGGTACTCAATGAGGTTGAGGAGCAGCTCGCGTCCCACCACCTCGTTCCCATGCATGTTAGCTATGTACTTGAACTCTGGTTCACCTGAAGGAGAGGGGAGAAAATAACGGGAAAAAGCAAGAAAATAAGGGTTAGACTGCTATTAAAAGAGAAGTAGGGCAGAGTCGGCTGGGAGAGAATGAGGGCGGCAGTCTCCTGAACAAATTCACACTCAATTAAACTAAAGCACTTCATTAATTTGAAAACCCTCCTTATCCTTGCAGTGTCATTTCAAGGCCACCCAATATTGAAAAAATACAATGCTGTAATGGGCCTGCTGATAAGAGAGAGTACCCCCACATTCAAAAGCATATGAAGCTACTAGATCATTGAGCTGAAGCAATAATATCATGATCTTTTTAAGGAAGGAAAACAGCAGAACTGCTATTTTTCTAGACTATGAATTTCAGTGTGGGAACACAATCCAGTTACTGTAAGAAGTTAGATCAACATAAACCAAACAGCCATATATTGAAGGCATTGCTTCAGAGTTAATAGTCTCTTCTGGAGCTCCAGTAACACCAAATCACATCCATACCTGGCTCGTGGACAGTGGGGTTGTCTGATATCACCATGACGTAGAGCTCACGGTCCTCTGCTGACTTCCCAATGGAGTGGAGATGAGCGATGGAACGAAACCTGTTGCTGTACCTGTTGTGTTGAAAGAACAAGGCTTTTTCACATTTTATTAAAGCTCTCATATCCTAACATTACTTGCTGTCATAACATTTTAAATGCTTCATTGCAAAGGCTATAAAGCAAACATAACAGTACCTGCGCAGGAACAGCTCCATGTCATTGTAATGGTGGTGGCGGAAGTCCTGTGGCTGGATGGGCTGGTGCTCAGGCTGGGCTGGGGGCTGAGCCTCCTGGGGAGTGGAGCTCTCGTTGGCCCCAGAGGTCCCCATCTCAGAGGTGGAGGAGTCAGGGTCTGAGGTTGTGGTAGGGACAGTGGTAGTGGTGGTAAAGGGTACGGTTATGCCACCTGTGGGTTCATTTCCCAGGGGAGCCAGGGTGAAGTTGAGCTCGGTGGCCTTGCCCTCCACCACTTGAACCCCAACTACTGTCATGGACATGTACCTATGAAGACCGAGACATTGAACATGTTTATTTTGTTGCAGTTAAAATAAAATAAAATGCAGAAAAACTAGGTAAAAACCCTGTGCACAGCAGTGCGTCTACATCCAGGTAATATCTTTTAAATGTATTTCACCAGGAAGTTTCAGGTAACATGGGAAAGTACCAGTAACAAGGGGAAATATCTTAGAGTAAATTAAGCTCTAAGATGTACATTTACTTAATTTAAGAAAACACCATACATAAATCAGTTCCAAGAAAAACAGACAGGAACTAAAACCAGGAGTAGAGTATGCTTATTTTGTTAAATACTTTATTTTCTGTACCCTGTGCAGCAGGAGAGGAGCTCATTCCTCCAGCAGTACTCACCCTGTGGCTATAGCTGAGACATTGTATGTCCCAGGGAGCAGCAGGCGGTAGTAGTCACCAAACTGGGCTGTGGTCAGGTTATGGTTGATGCCTGCCACCACGATGCTGACATCAGGCAGAGCTGTCCCATTGGTAGCCTCTTTCACATAGCCTCTCACTCCAATGTGAACCTGGGAGAGAACAGGAAAATGTCAGAAGAGATCTCAATCACTGTTCCTATTGCCTCAGTAGCTGGGAACAAAAGAAGCTCAAATCACTAAGTGCTGCCTAGAACTAAGAAGCAACTGCAAATGGATGTCAAGACAGAACAATCTCTTCAATTAAAATAAATAAATAGTAGTAAGAACCAGAGAGTAGTTATAAATACTACAGATATTCATATGTGCAATGAAATTATGTGTGTGATAGTTTGAAAGTTTGAGTGTGACACTGTGTTTTGGAAAAGCCTACCTGCTCCAGGTAGGCAATGAGTGACTCCCTGTTGTAGTCCCACTCTTTCTTTAACTCGGAGGCCGGTGGAAATTTACAGCAGCTCAGTTCTATGGTGATCTCCAGGCAGTTTCCATTCAGGTAGTTATAATCCTGCATGCCTCCTGAACAGGGATTACAAATTGTACCTTACTTCAATAATTTTTCCTGCAAACATTTCAAGATCTCTCTGCTTCAAAACCACTCATGAAGACATCAGTATCACTTTTGGAAGCACAAACTAAAGAAAGTGGGCAAGCATCCAAAATAAACTGTCAAAAAGAAAGTGTGTTGACTCAATCTCTTCTGTTTAGGTAATGAAAGCAACAGCATGAACACAGGCCTAATGCTTTGTGTCAGGAACGTCCTTAAATCTACACCAAACCCAGGATGTAGGCTAAAGGTGTTTATCAATGCAAAGTGCCTCTGGCAGAGCAGAGCAGAGCGGGCTGTGGCCAGCACCAGCCTTTCCTCCAGTCCAGGGCTGCCTGGTGGAGGAATGTGTTTGCTGTGGCCTGGTGCCACCTGCCGCTCAGGCAGTGTTCCCAGGTTGCCCTCAGCACAAAGCCAGACAGCAGGCAGGCAGTAGGCCTCTGAAGGGTTGCCATGACTGGGTGGGCGCTGTAACCCAATCAGGGTTTGCGTTTGGAAAATGTGGTGCCGGACATTTGACCGGCAGCATATTAATTTACCAGACATTTGAGAATTTACCGGACCCGTATGCATTGGATGTGTAACCTGATTAGGGCCTCGATCAATGGTGCTCAGAATGACAGAAATCAAATTTTGATTATGGTAAGTAATCTTAACACAACATGCAAGACGAGGATGCAACAATGTGTGGTTCTTATTGAAATATGATGCGCACTTTGAAGATGTACTTTTCCTCTGCCAACAAGACGAGTAAGGTACAGTAAAACACTAGCCTATGTCAATCTACTATAGTCTCCATAGTAGAAAAGTTTACCTAGGCCTATTCTATTGGTCAGCTTGTCAAGAAAGAAATAGCCTATTCCAAACTGACTCTGGGACAGTTGGGGGACGATAGATCCCAAATTCATCCAACCAGTAGGCATAGGCTACATTAACAAAATACATTAAAAAGCAATGAGTCAGATGCAACAGATCAGAACGTTTAGCTTAAAATGTTGATAAACTATTATTTCTTTACATTATAAGCACAGCAATGAGCACAAGGAAGTAGGCTAAGTGCAAATGTTCGTTCCATAATGCAGTTAGCTGAAAAACTGTTGTCAAAAGCACACCGCACGAGATGAAAATATTATTTAGAAATTTAGAAAGAGGGGAGATCTAATATGCGACAACTAGCATGGGTTGCTAATATGACTAGGATTGTGCCTTTAGCTCCTGGACAATGAAAGAAAGTTGATTTAAAAGAATTGCCTCCACGGATATGGTCAGATTTTGGCTAGGCTACTCTGAAGCAAGGTAAGACATGACTCATAATATGTAGTAAAACTTTCAGGTTTCAAACGATTAAGTATATTTTCAAAATGCATACTGCTCATTGCAAAGTGGTGTGGTGGCTTTGTATCTAATCTCTAGATGCTTTACGCATGTGATAAATAAGATACATAACAAATATACTGTACACACGCACCAATTTAATTCCACTAAATTATGCAAAGTAAGTATAGACCGATAAGCATGACCTGTCAAATGTATTTCCATCGACTGGTATTTCAATCAATGATTAGTCTAAAAAGCATATCGCAATGGGATGATTTTCTTCTCCCGGACACTTGGCCTGCACCAATTTTATTAAACATATTTTTTTCAAATTATTATTATTATTTTATTTTTTTAATTGGGCAAAAGCCGGCTATTACCAACTAACGGAAACCCTGAACCCAATAGAAGTAGGAAACTCAACCCTCTTCCTCACACACACAAACAAGACCAAGTCACTCTGTCGTCTTTACACAGACACAATCCAGCGTGCAAATGCATGCTAGTGCGCATAATTGCACGCACGCACACACACACAAAACACACTAACTCACAGGAGACAAACAGCACAAACAACAACCTCTGCTCTTTTATCTGAATGTGTGAGGCCTACCAGGCTCAGGTTAGAAATGCTACTGTGTGCATATGATATCAGACAGCATGATGTGGGAAAGATACAACAGAGCAGATTCAGTATTTACATAATCACACACACACACACACACACACAGCAGAGACAGCAAACATGGCTGCTTGTGATTTAGCCAACTACAGGACGTGGCTAACGTGGCTGCTTGTGATTTAGCCAACTACAGGACGTGGCTCTAATACAGAAATCTTCAGAAGGTATTTGACACTGACAGGTAGAGGAGGGGAACAAGAGGGGGAGAAACGGAGGGGAGAGGAAGCGAGTGTCCATCCATCAATCATCAGTGAGTGACTATAATCACTTACCAGGCACAGATAAAAAAGCAATCTCCAGTAAAGCTGTTTAATCCACACACATCAGGGTTGAATGTGTGCGTGTTAGGCTAGTTCTCACAGAGAGGAAAGGTATCAGAAAGCACAGAGTAAGCCCTTACTAACACAATACTGAGTCAGCCCAGGACAAGCCAGAATACAAGCCAGAGTGGTACATGCAGCTGTTGAACATCCTCTCAAATGGCTGCATCACTGTGACTGCCTGGCCTGCAGATTAATTCTGGGTTCTGTGGTTTTGGTTGACTGGTAAAGAGTTTAGATATAATACCACAAGACAGTTATTTGGTGGGTTATCATAAATCTATTTGATGCCAGGCTTTATTGTGGCAGCATAACATATACTTCAAAAATAATTATCCATCTGAATGGAGTTTTCATATTATTTTGCTTGAGTCATGGTAGGGGAAACATTACTACACTTGTTGAACTGCCTTGCATAGCTGTTAAATGGCAGAGTGTGTGTCAGCCCCAGTCTAGTTGTGCTAAGCTGACAGCTGTGGTAAAACAGATCAACAGGGCAGTGTCCCACGTGAGCCTGTTTTAGAGAGTACTTTAGGGATGTTAGTTAGGGTGGTTCCCAAGGGCTTAGGAAACAGGCCTAGGCTATGTCTCTGACAGTGCCTCTATGGACACTTGCTAATAACCTTACCATGAAAAAGACTGTACAGTGTGCATTGCAACAATGCTCCTAATAATAGTAATCTTAGTGACTTTTTCGTGTTTAACGATTTGCCTGGCGGCACCTGTGATGTGTGCATCATATGATAACATGTCATATTAGACAATATCTGAGAAAAAAACATAGGCTAGAGATCATGAGCTCTATCAGCCCCACCCTCCACATGCTCCCACCAGGCAGGATACACCAATGACTGTATATACACTATATATACAAAAGTATGTGGAAACCCCTTCAAATTAGTGGATTCGGCAATTTCAGCCACACCCGTTGCTGACAGGTGTATAAAATCAAGCACACAGCCATGCAATCTCCACAGACAAACATTGGCAGTAGAATGACCTTACTGAAGAGCTCAGTGACTTTCAACGTGGCACCGTCATAGGATGCCACCTTTCCAACAAGTCAGTTGGTCAACTTTCAGCCGTGAAGTGGTAGACCACACAAGCTCACAGAATGGGACCGACGAGTGCTGAAGCGGTAGCGCGTAAAAATCATCTGTCCTCGGTTGCAACACTCACTACCCAGTTCCAAACTGCCTCTGGAAGCAACGTCAGCACAAGAACTGTTCGTCAGGAGCTTCATGAAATGGGTTTCCATGGCGAGTAGCCACACAAAAGCCTAAGATCACCATTTGCAATGCCAAGCGTCGGCTGGAGTGGTGTAAAGCTCACCGCCATTGGACTCTGGAGCAGTGGAAACGCGTTCTCTGGAATGATGAATCACACTTCACCACCTGGCAGTCCGACAGACGAATCTCGTTTTGGCTGATGCCAGGAGAACGTTACCTGCCCGAATGCATAGTGGCCACTGTAAGGTTTGGTGGAGGAGGACTAATGGTCTGGGGCTGTTTTTCAAGGTTCGGGCTAGGCCCCGTAGTTCCAGTGAAGGGAAATCTTAATGCTACAGCATAGAATTACATTCTAGACAATTCTGTGCTTCCAACTTTGTGGCAACAGTTTGGGGAAGGCCCTTTCCTGTTTCAGTATGACAATGCCCCCGTACACAAACGAGGTCCATACAGAAATGGTTTGTTGAGATCGGTGTGGATGAACTTGGCTGGCCTGCACAGAGCCCTGACCTCAACCCCATCGAACACCTTTGGGATGAATTGGAACGCCGACTGCAAGCCAGGCCTAATCGGCCCACATCAGTGCCTGACCTCACTAATGCTCTTGTGGCTGAATGGAAGCAAGTCCCCGCAGCAATGTTCCAACCTCTAGTGGAAAGCCTTCCCAGAAGAGTGGAGGCTGTTATAGCAGCACAGGGGGGTACAACTCCATATTAATGCCTATGATTTTTGAATGAGATGTTAGACGAGCAGGTGTCCACATACTTTTGTCATATAGTGTATGAATGGACAAAGCCATCAATCACGTGACACCATTCAATTCTATGTGAAGACACAATAGCGCATTAATGCCAAATGAAGTCGGTTAAGATGACGTCTCATGGGGACATAACAGGCGCAGTTTGAGCAACTCCAGGAAGTGACGTTACAGTCTGCCCCCTCTCATTGACTAACTCAAGTTGAAGGCCGACCCGGGTACTGTAGGCTTCAAATAGCAACTAAATTATCTTTATAATTTATTCTGTGTGTTATTTTAAAATAATCGGTTCAAGGACATACACAACCGTTCAAAAGTGTCGGGTCACTTAGAAATGTCCTTGTTTTTGATTTAGATTATTTTTTTTTGTCCATTAAAATAACATCAAATTGATCAGAAATACAGTGTCGACATTGTTAATGTTGTAAATGGATATTGTAGCTGAAAACGGCTGATTTTTTATGATATATCTACATAGGCGTACAGATGCCCATTATCAGCAACCATCAGTCCTGTGTTCCAATGGCACGTTGTGTTTGCTAATCCAAGTTTATCATTTTAAAAGGCTAATTGATCATTAGAAAACCCTTTTGCAATTATGTTAGCACAGCTGAAAACTGTTGTGCTGATTAACGAAGCAATAAAACTGGCATTCTTGAGAC